AATGACCCTTTCACAGGGGTCGCCTAAGACCATCGGAAAACATATTTTTTCTGATGGTCTTACAAACTGAGACACTGTTCCTCTATCCGTCTCCAGGTGGGTCCGCCCACATGCAGATAACGCCCACATACAAGTCCCCGGCGTGAAGACTGTCACCCATGCTACACCATGCTCCATGACAAAATTTCATGTCATTAGAAATAAATATTTCACAATATATACGTTTTTGTGATTAATCACTATGGTTTGTGTTCAATTTGTAGCAATGAAAATACATCCTGCATAGTTATATGACAACTCACAACAGTAGCAAAATTAGTTATGAAGTAGCAACGAAAATAATTTTATGGTTGGGGGTCACCATGAAGAGCTGTATGAAAGGGTCGAGGCATTAGGAAGGTTGAGAACCACTGCTTTAGATCTTCATGGAAGCAGTCCTGTCTTTTTCCGGTAGAGCCAGATGGGTTTGAACAGCTGACCTTGTGGTTAGCAGCTCAGGGAGTAGCCCACTACCACCAGGAGCCCTCCAACATAGCAGGCGCTCAATAAACCTTTGTGAGATGAATAGCCTCGTGTGGGGTGGACGAGGACCACCAATCTTCTCTCTTTAGGATTCACTTTCCCAACACAGAAGTTGGTAGGTTGGCTTAAGCATTGTCTAAGAACACTCCTATATTTGAGGGGAGATGTTCTCCAGCCCTCTCACCTTTGACCCTTCCCAGGAAGACCATGGCTGCCTCACTCAGGAGCCTCAGATATCTTCACACCTCTATTGCTCTGCTTCGACAGTACAAACATGACCTCATCTGGTCACCTTGGTAGTGGTTGCCCCATTTTTCAGATAAGGAAACTGAGCCCCTGAGGGATGAACTTTCTTTAAGGATGGCCCAGACCGGGAGGCTGTCTCCAATGGTCCTGCCCCACAGCAGCTTCTGAACAGTCCCACTGGTGAGCCGCAGGCAGGGGCGACATTGGAGAGCCCCCTGCCAGGGTGAGGAAGCGGCTAACTTCCACAGGCCCACCATCTGAGCAAGGGTTCCTGGTGTTCAGCCTTGCCCTCTTTAGAAAATGCAAACACTCCCATGAGAACCACCCCCTTAGGCCCTACATCCCGCCTCTGAAGGAGTTTATGGGAAGGGAAAGAAGAGTGTGGGGAAGGAGGGCGGTGTGGAAGGGACAGTGCACCCTCCTTTGTGGCAGGGCTGCACGCACGCGCAGACCCCGGCCCTCGCTCCGCCTCAGCTCCGGTGTCGCCCGGCTCGGTCCTCTCCAGCATCCTCCCGCGGCCAGCGCCGCCCCAGGAGGCGGTGGGTCCCCGGCCGCGGAGCACCGCACCGCGGGCGTGCTGGCCCTGGTAGGTAGGGGCGGAGAGGGTTAGACCTCGGGAGACACTTCCCGGACACCTATGGGCGGTAGACCCGAAGGGACCGAGCAGCTCAGCCCCACCCCCACCCCGGGCACTTTGGGGGTGGCCACGCCACTGCGGAGAGGCAGAGGGATGGCCCAGAAGACCTCTGGAGCTCCTGACCCGTTTTTTCCGCCGGCGGGAGGCTGCGCCACCTGCACAGCTCACCCGGCACGCCCTCCTAAGCTTGGGGCTGGGGGCTTCGCGGCTCCAGCCCGGGGAGTGTGGCGGGAGGAGTGGAAGGGCAGGGCGGGCTGCTCCGCTGTGGCCACCCAGGCTGCCCTTCCGTGGAATCCGGGCGCTCAGTTGTGCAAATAAGGCCTGGCTTATTTGCATTTCATGCTAATGAGCAGATCCCCTAAGTGCCTCTGTCTCCCAGCCTCTATCACTGCTCTCATTACCAGCGTGCAGCGCCTGGGATCTTGAACTTGGGGCCGTTTTCTGGGAAAGGGGGGGCTATTTTTGCTTCCAATGGCGTGTCTCACACCCTCCTCCCCCCTGCCGCCCCGCAGCCTGCTGGTCAGTTGCCCTTCAGGGCCAGGCGAAGAGGCCCCGGGGCTGGCACTCGGAGGTAGCTACTCTCATCACCTCCTCTTTGAAGAGTGGGGAAATGAGGCCAGAGAGGCTTGCCCAAGCCCGAAGTCAGGTTCCCTGCCGGCCAGCAGGCCCCGCACCCATCATCCAGGCTACTCCTGGTCTCTGGGCTGCACTCCTTTCTAGAACATACCCACAAAGCAGGCACACACCATCTGGACAAACGGAAGGACGCAGCTACTTCCCTGGAACCAGGGTCTGGGGGAGACCTGCCGCCCACAGCGTCCTGACCCCTGAAGAGACCGGGAAGAGAGAGGCTCTCTGATATCCAGTCAGAAACTCAGGTGTGTGTAGAGGTGTGTGGGGGTGGGGGGACAGAGCAGGGAATGGGGGCACATTTTTTAAAAGCCCAAGGCTCAGCTCAGAAATCACCTCCTCAAGAGTGGACTTCTCTGAGCAAGCAGTGTAGTGCTTTTTTCCAAGTGCCAAGATGCCCTCCATACAGCAAGAGCCACAGCAGTCTCCAGGGCCTCCTAGCACTTGGCCATGTCACAGCTGCTGCCTCCCACACACAATGACCCCATCCAGGCATTTGGAGGCTGTCCATCTTTATAGGAACAGATAGCCTCATCTTTCTCCCCAGGAGTGGCTAGTGAGTTTCAACCACAGACCTTGTGGTTAGCAGTCCAACGCTTGCCGGACAGCGCATAACTCACTGCCACGAAGTCTGACTCCTGGCCACCTTGCGGGAGCAGAATTGCCCCTTTGGGTTGCTGAGACTTTAGATCAGCGGTTCTCAACCTGTGGGTCTTGACCCCTTTGTGGGGGTCGAA